AACTTGAAATCAATTTCTTAATTGTGAACGTCCAGGTAACCGCATGAATGCCTATTGTACAATGTCTAGTAAGAACTCCTACACGCCAGAAAAACTATTGGCGTCGTAAACAAACGGTTACTAAATACACACTAATTGACATATGGAGATCAAATTTTACACGAACATGAAAAAGGTTATAAAAATTTTGCAAAAAAAGAATTTATTAAATTAATTATTATTATTAAAATGCCAGTCCGTGTAAGCTTTGTTCTTGAATTTAAAATCACACAAAAATGTATTAATTTCTTTGCCAGCTTTCCTTGCGCCATTTTAATACTACAAATAATACAATAATTTCTATTAATTAAGTATTTCGAAGACCAACGAAAAATTTCGACAATTTTACATCGTTTTATAAAAGTAGCTATTGATTTATATCGAATACAAGCTCGTTGCAATATTGAACGAATGAATGATATTGGCGGCATATCTCGATCCGAAGTTGTGAGAGAAAGTCAACGAAATTCTTCGATAGACAACATTTTTGTGCCTCTTAGTTTTGGGCTTTATATTTACTATAAACAACGATGATTTATTTCAAGTCTTAAGTTTCGATTATTAGTAGTATAGTATTTTAATTTTTAAAGAAATTTGAGATATGACATTTAAAATTAAAAAATTGGTATAAAATTTGTAAAACGAAACTTAACAGCATTGAAGTTTGCGGTTATACTATTTTAATAAGGCCTCCGCATACTCTCTTGTATCAATTCAAATGTATAAATTGTATTGTTGCTTTTGCTGAGTCAATTTAGCCATGTCTGTCTGGCTGTCTGTATATACGTGCACCAGTCCTTCTGATTTGAGTAACATAAAACTTCACAGAGGTGTGCGTCTTGCCTTCTTTTCCAAAATTTGGTGTTCTATTGAAAAGTTTATATAACCCAATGTTTCGTTGGAAATCTTTTAACTCAAATCTACAAATCTCTTACCAATCCTTACCCTAATCGAACAAGCTCCAAACTCTTTCAACCCTAACATATCTATGTATACTTAAAATTTAAACAACTTTTTTCATTAAACATTATATTTTACGCGCCCTACACAACATGCATACATATACATCGTATTTATAATAATGGCGGTATGTATGTATGTATATTGGTGTGTACAGATTGTAAATTACATGAAATTAAAAGTAGATAACCTCACTTCCTCCACAAGTATGCTACACATAAATAAAATAATACTCTACCCAACGCTTTAGAACTTATCTGCCACACTTAATGTCATAAAGCCTCTCAGCCATTTCATATCTACCCGAAACATTAGTCATTATCCATGCCACGGTGACAACTGAATCGTTTCCATTCCACGTCGCAACCGAACGCATACGATATAATAGAGCTGCCAACCCACAGCGCAAAAAATGTCAAAATTCAGTTGTTTTTAAATAAAATGGGATACTTATTGATATATATACTTAAATTAGTAAAAAGTAGTTAAAATTATGGTAAGGTATAATACCTCACCTTCATTGTCCCGTCTTGGATACGGGACTGAGTAATAAGCAAGCGTTATGTATAAATGAAATCAATTATAAATGTTTTATATGGCTCCTTTTTTATTTGTAAGCGAGTACTTAAAGAATGCTTAATGGAATTGGCACTTCTCTGCAATTATTTAACGAGACTGGCAGCATTTTATATGTTGAACATTTTATCTGTTGGGTATTTATTCAAAGAGCTTTCAAAGTCAATCCAAAATAGTCCATCCGAAACATACTTAGACATAAAAAATCTGTGAAGAAATTCTGTGATACCATTTTTTCCACAGCTTACCTGCAGGGGCTCGAATAATGTTGGCTGCGATTGCATAAATACAAAATAAATATCCTAACTGGTTTTCAAGTCTCTTGTAACTCAGCAATAACCTTAACCTCACAACACCAGGAGCACAAAATACTTTTAAAGAAGTAATATGATCCAATATTTGTTGGTTCATCAAAATCAATTTTTTCAACTTGGAAATATCTTCGATACCATCTGAGGAGGTTCAGCAGTCAATTATGAAAAACCTTTTCATTTGAATAAAATTGAGTACTATTGGGCTTGCAACCACAGTACCTGTATTGTATGTGTTTTCAGAGAAATTGGTGAATTTTGATTGAGAACCCAACAATTGTTATGACACGGAAAAACTTAAAAGAGAACAAGAACTTGTACATGAAAATAAGTTAGGGAAAAATATATTCCCTCTTTTAAACAATCTTAATTTCATACACTTTAAATCTCTAAACAAAAGTTTCAACACACTTAAATACTAATCTTTGAAAAATGTGAAACTAATTTAAAACCAGTTTCAGTTTCAGTTACTACCGCCTCAATCTGAGTTAATGGAAGCAACCTGAGCACTCTCTATTATAACAAGCATTTATGTTACGAGCTTTTACTCGTTATATGCTTATTAAACTGCGTTCACCCGAAGGTTCTTTTGTCGCTCTTTATTGGCAAATTCTCCTTTGACACCACTCATTGCGTTCACACGAGCGACACTAGTCCGATAACTTCGTTTGACAATTTTCTGCATTTTATTTCATATCACATTCTCAATTTCTTGTAGGCTTCATGTAACAAAATATTTTTGGTTAGCTAATTTTTATCCTTGTCCCTTTTCCAACACATTTTAATTATATTATGGACTTTTATATACATAATCACATATTAAATACAAAAAAATAGATAATAAAAATCAAATTTGCGAACATGTTGTAAATATTCATTTGAAACCTAGCGCTACTACACCCATGAAAATATTTTAATGAAAAGGAATGCCGAATAGCGTAGCAGCGAACTATTATGAACAAAAACCCAAAGCCTGAATTTTTCATTTTCAAGAAATTGTTAAGTTCTTTCACAAAATGCCATCATTTTGGACTTTGTGAAAATAAAGCGATTTCTTCTTAGAGTAAAAATTAATTCAACTTGTCAAACATATAAGACTAAAAAAATGAAAGAACCTTTGCTGTTGAATCCGTTTATTTCAAACAAATTAAGGGGGGAAACCAGTTTAGATGATTAAAAAAAATCGACTTTTTTATTGCATAAATTGTTAGTACAACTATTCAAGAATATGTTGCTTATTGCAAGAATATGTTGCAATTTGTTCCGATGATATGAGTACTAAGGTAAACACCGGTCGATTCAGTGCCGAAGCGCATTTTTTTTTCAACTTGCGGGAATCCTAGCTCGAAAATTTGTTGAGGAATCGATCTGAAAATGTATATGAATATCCTTTATTTAAGTTCGAAAAATATGAACCAAACTCTGGAATTATATTACTAAGTAAAATATAATGTTTTATGTAAGAAAGGTGAAAAAAATATTTAAAAACATAACATTTAATTCAAACTGCTCCAAAACATTTAATTTTCAACACTTTTGGCCAGAGTTGGCTCATATTCTTAGAAAATATGTTACTAACGAAAGAAAAAAAATTAATGATTTCAGATCCGTACCGTGTACCGCCAGCAATCAACTCTGATAGCGATCGTCTATGGACACCACCCTCTAACTTTAAAAGTTTAGTTAAAAATAGGAATAAATTACCCTGCAAGTTTAAACGAATTCTAAGTATTCTTTCTCAATTAAATAAAAAAAACAGTCGAATTTCGGCCTCCTAAATGGTTTCACTCCTTAATCTGTTCGAACGACATAGTATAATATATACTTCTAAGTTGGGTCGGAATGTCTTTGATTTGACGGATTTTTTGCTCGCTGGGTTGCAGTCAATCATTCGGGTGAGTTCGTATGTAAATACTTGGATGCTAATTAAAAATTAAATTGCCACAGACAGTGTGTAGCACATACATGCCTAGATACCCAAAACTCTACATATATGTATATATATGTATATATGTACATACAAATGTTTAATAAAGCCGAATATTCTCAGGAGAGACGTTGATTTTTATTGTGCGGTGCGTGGTTGAGCGACACAATCTCCATGTTATAACATTTTGGCTTCCTTTTTTCATTTTTGGGGTTGAATTTTAACGGATTTCGTTGTGCTGGGAGAAAATCTTTTACGTATGTGGTTAGTAATGTCGCGCTGTGATTTTTTTTTTTTTGTGGCATGTGTGTGAGTTTAAAGTTATGTAGATATAGAGATGGCGGAATATGAAACGGTTTACTGCCTGCAGTGTTGAAGATTCGTTAAAATTTAAAAAATTTAATTAAAACGAAACAAAATGCCTTTTTAAAAATTTTTGGTAAAGGTAACGGCGAACAATATACCACTAGCACATATGTATGTCTGTACAAATGTAGCGAGATATGTCAGGACTCAAGGTAATTGAGTGGAGTGTGAGATAATCTGAATGTAAAATATGGAATTTTCAAAATTTATGTGAGGATGTGTTCTACATATTTTTATCCCCCTTCACACTTCTACATTATACCTATAAATTGTAGTTATGGTATATACAGGGTGTTTCATATTTTATATTGCGTTTTAACTGAAACTCCCTTAGAGCTTAATTTGATTGACTAAACGACATTTCATAAGCAAAAAGGGACTACTCGAGCTTCCGACACTGGAACATAATTTTTCATACAAAACGAAAAAAACCGATAAATATCGATATCGATAAATATTGGCTCAATATATCTCTACAGAGTTGAAAGCTCAACCTTTGATGCTTAAAAAAGTATTCGCAACCGCAGCAGAAAGAAAATTGCTGTTGCATTTTTTGGTGTTTTTATTAAAAAAATGGTAGAATTTTATTATGCACAGCTAAACTAAATATAATCTATATTTGAGAGATATTAATCGTTTTGTTCAAAGTTATTCGTTGCACATATCAACGTAAACTGTTTTAAATAATGATTTTATTCAATAAGGACCATCTTAATGTACAACAACATTATGTATCGCTATTATAAAACCTGTCGTACGTATTAATTAACCATTTAATTTGAATAAAGAGCGAAAAATATATTTGTATATGTTTTACTTACATTTTTTATTTCATTCATTTTTGTAAACTGTCGCCCGAACTCCCAGAGATCCACACCAAATTTAAGCGCCCAGTTTCGCACTCTGGAAATAATTAAAAAAAATATTAAGAGTTTTTTGTATTTTAAACATAATATAAAATTGTTTGATTCCGAAATAGCTTTGATTGAGTAATTTTAAATAAATTAAACAACTAAAGGATCTCATCTTTGATAGTACATACTATAATACACATAACCGGTCCTCTCCCAGTTATTTTTTTCAATTATTTTACTTTAACGAGCAATGTTTACACAGGATATACGTACATAATTTCAATCAGCACAAAAGCATACACAAATGTGAAATTTTCTTTATTACCTCAATTAAATTAGAATTCAACTCGATTATATTGTTACTATATATGTATAACCGTTAAGTGAACAATATATCCTCCTCTTTTATCAAAAAAAAATTATTTAAAACTCGACAGAGTTTCTGAGTTAGTTATTACTAAGTTAAAGGTTGTAAAAAAATTTTAGAACTTAAACTCGTTTAGGTATATTAAGGAGAATAAATGTTGTCTTCGACTTCTTCAATTATTTCGCAGCTCGCGTTTTCAACAATTCTGTAACGCCCAAATGCATACGTATGTAATTACATTCAATACACACAAATGCATATGCTCATTAGCTGAACCCATAAAATACTTCAGCTAATTTGTTTTATTTTTTAAGCGGATGTGCGCCGACAGCAAAAAGCTTCCATTAAAGCTCAAAAAAGGCAGTACATTTTCATCAGACTGCCCGGCGCTGTCGCAGCACCCATATAGTATGTAGACGCATAAACGCCGCGAATGCTGTTTTAAATGCTTTTACGTCAGACGCGCAAAAGCTACGCTGTTAGCTTACTCAAAATAACAGGTTCGAGGAAGGTAAAAATCGCGGTATTGAAATTGGCAGGAGCAAAGCGCAGAAATCGAGCATATATCAGCAATTGAGTAATAAAAGAAATACACAAAGGTGCAAACACAAGAATACACAATGTATGTAAGTGACAAAAGAAGCTGGTTTTGTCGTGGAAAATACGAAAATAAATAATTAAGAAAAAGACAGCAATGTCAGCCTTGAAATCTGATATACAAGGTGTGTTCAAAGCAAAAGGTGAATTTTAAATTTTTTTTAAAAAGTACTTATTTACGATCATATTCATCAATATCTATTTTGTCCCCTTTAAAGTAATTCCCCTGGGATATAATACACTTGTGCCAACGCTTTTTCCAATCCTCGCAGCACTTCTGAAATGCGCTTTTCGATATGGCCATCAGCTCTTTCTTCAATTTTGACTTGTTTTCAACAATTGTGGCAAAACGATTTCTTTTCATTATTTTCTTTAGTTTTGGGAATAGGAAAAAGTCGCAGGGAGCCAAATCTGGTGAATACGGTGGTTGAGGCATTATTACGGTTTTTTTTTTGGTCAAAAAATCACGAATAAGCATTGATGTGTGAGCTGGTGAATTATCGTGATGCGGAATCCACTATTTGTTTTTCCATATTTCTGATGGTTTGAGCCGGTTTGAGCTTCACACAAACGTTGCATAACTTCCTTGTAGTATTCCTTATTAACTGTACGAACTTTTGGCAGGAACTCATAATACACCACACCATTCCTGTAATCAAAGAAAACAGTGAGCAAAACCTTCACATTTGGTCGAACTTGGCGTGTCTTTTTCGGCCTTGGCTCACAGCTTTCATTGGGATGATTGGGCCTTGGTACCGAGGTCATAACCATTTGAGGAAACCGGGATCGTTGCTGAAGTCATTTAACAACTCCTGCGCGATACTATTGTGACATTGCTTATGCCCAAAATTTAGCAAGAAGAAAATTGAATAGAATCAGCCGATTGATATGCCAACCTCCTCTGCAACTTCCATAATAGTGACTCGACGATTTTAAAGAACAATTTTTTTCACTGTTTCGATATTTTATTCGCTTGTAGACGTGGTCGCACCTCCAGGATGCTTATCGTCATCAACATCTTCTCGGTCTACTGTAAAGCGCTTGCACCACTTATAAACACTTTTTTGAGACAAAGCAGACTCACCGAATGCCACAACCAACATTTCGAGTGCCTTGTAGCACTTTATTCCATTTTTAGCGCAAAATTTAATACATATTCTTTGATCCATTTCTTTTAAAAGTCAAAAATCGAAGCGCACACAAAAACATGACTAACCTTTTCTGTTGTCAAAAACAAACTTCCAATCGAAATTGGCTGGTAATGCTAACACATGATAAACATTTCATCATCTGATTATAACAAAAATTTTCAAAAATTCCATTCCATCGAAACATGCCGGGATCGCCTTCAGTTCGTTCTGCGAAACGGGTTCCACGGAGTGGTAACTTGAGTTTTGGAAACAAAAAATGGTCTTAAAATCGTTCACAGCTACAGCTCGGAGCGGTCTTTTTGCAAAAAATTCAGCTCTTTTGGAACAAGCCGAGCATTGACGCGTCATGCCCAAATTATCGATCAAAATCAAACGAGCTGTCGATGTTTAGCTTACTTGTTATCTCTCTAACACTCGCATCATGATTTTCGAGCACGATTTCCTTTACCTTTTTGATGTTATCGTCAGCGGTAGACGTCGAAGTATGGCTGGAACGAAGCATGTCTTCGACGGTTTCTCGACCATCCTTAAAAGCTTTGTACCGGTCGTCGACTTGGCTTTTCGATAGAATATAGTCACCATAAGCCTTTCCTAAAATTCGTACCGATTCCGCACCCGAAATTTGGTTCGAAACACAAAATTTGCTGCAAATTATTTGTTCAATATTTTTTTCAATTGTAAAAATCGCAAAACACTACTGAGGTCGACTGATTTCAACAGCTGCGGCAAACAAACTGGTTGACAGATCGCGCTCTTTTTGGCATAGGAATTAAGGACAGTGCTACCAACTTAACAAAAAAAGAATGCTGAAAAATATTCAGCGCAGGCAGTTTAAATGACAATTTCCGGAAGCTTTCTGATCACAATGTATATAAATGATTAACGTGACGAGAATAGTCGATTTAGACATGCCCATCTGTCCGTCTGTATATACGCGAACTAGTCCCTCAGTTTTTGTAATATCAATCTGGAATTTTGCACATGGTCTTTTCTCTTTAAAGAGATGCTCAGTTGTCAAGTTCTTGTATGGAAAACTATTTTATTTGAGAAAATAACTCCGAAAGGATTGTTTAAATCGGACTGCTACAGCATATAGTTGAGAAAAAAACTGATCGATCAAAAGCAAATACTTTTATAGAAACTTTTTTTATTTTTTAAGGGTATTATACCTTAATTTCAACTAAAGTTAATGTTTTTTTCTTGTTTTCTATTAATAAAATATAATGTTGTCGACCAGTATGTTTACTTCAATCCGTAAGTAATGAACTAAATTTAATTAGGGAACTCGATTTATTACCGTACAAGATGAACGGACAGGCTTTTTCAAAAAATGTATTTTGCTCCAGCGTGTAACACATTCACAAAAAACCGTTAAGTAAACTGAAACTACTATAACCAAGGCTACGCTCGAGTATAGAAATCAACCTTAAATAGAAATTAATAATGTTTGCCAATAAAAAGTTATAGCATTACATTTTCCACCTTCTAGGTAATCATTTAGTGCGTAAATCGCTTGTGTAGTTGATGTCATCGACGAGCAGGCGAAGCATCATCCGTCAATGCAGGACATAACGGTGACAATTGCGTCATTGTCGTGGGTGTCTCTTGATCTCGTCGCCCACTTATTTCAAAGCTAATCCAGTTTGAAACCCGCTAGCAAAAAGTCACATGTGTGTGTATGTATGTATGCGTAGGTGTGCAAACAGTTGTTTAAATCAAACACAATGCGATTAGCAAAAAGCATAAAAGGTAAAGTGATGTAGGCGGTTAAACAGCGACGCGCAATGAAAGTGAAACTCAGCTAGTCGCGTGATATTTCCACACATACTTTGTTGTTGTTGTTGTTGTCGTTACCAAAGTGACTTGTCGACTTTTTATAGGGCCAACCAACTTGTTTGCATGTTAGCGGCTTGATTGTTGTATTTCTATATAAGCAACAGGGGTAAAAAAAAAGGAAAATGCAAGGAGAAAATAACAACAACAAATAAACAAAGTTTTTACGAGACGCGCACATCGACGTGTTGCACGAATAAAATTTTATTTTTTTTATATTAACACTGACTTGCATGTATTTGTGTGGCACAAACCGATTCATTACTAAGTGGCACCTTCATGATACCAATGTGTGAATACCACGTTTCCGAATGTTTAGGCGCCAAATAAGCGAACATTCGCAGTGAAAGTTCGAACCTACAACTTTGCCTGGCCGAACACAACATTCTTGTTGTTATGTGACTTAACGGGGACGAAATTTGCGCCTAGTTAGCACTAGAACAAAAAATAGGATTCAGCGAATAGAAATAGAAATGTTAGAGAATCACCTTAACTTAAATGTTTTAAGAGGTACATAAGTGGCCAAAAAGAGAGGTATTGTGTTCGATCAGTACAACGCCAGTTTACATACATTTATAGTGACTCACCAGAAGCTTCGGGACCTTGTTTGGAAAGTTTTTATGCATCCTCCTTATACTTGTAATTTGGACCTGGCATAAAGTCATTAGTACATATTCCTCTCTATTGTGAATGAGTTTGCTGATGAAAAATTCGCCTAAAGAGAAGCTTGTAAAAATCAACTGTGTCTTTCTTTGCCAATAGGAAGGAGGGTTTTTATGAGAGTGGCATTATGAAGTTACCTTCAAAATGTCAAGAAGTCATCGAACAAAACGGTGCTTATTTCATCTAACCGGATAATTCTTACTATGCTAAATTAAAGCTTAAATTTAATGCAAAAATTGTGAATTTATCTTTACTTGACCTAATATTTAAATTCTTATCACCATATCTTTTTCAGTAATGATATAACGAGACTTTCTAAGCTGCCTTCCACATCGAAAAAATTACTGTTTGGTATACTTTACTTGCCGAATGCGTTATTGGTCGAACTTATTTTTAAGCAGAATGTAGTTAATGGAGCTAGTACGTTATTGCCTCAAT